ATATACAAATTTCGTAATTTTTATATGCGATGTATGTAAGTTTCCCTATTGATTAGGAAATTTTGGATTAGACCATTTTAATTTGGGTGAATTTTAAATTTATTTAATTTTCTTAAATAATAGAGAGATTATAAATTTTGAGGAACTCCTATTTAGATTCATTTAAAAATAAATTTAATAATTTTAAGATACAGATGAATCAAAATATTTTACTTAAAACTATATACATAATTAATTAAAAAAAAGCAAATAAACTCTAATTAATTTTGAGTTGCCTCAAATCAAAGCATTTGAATTAGAATTGGCTCAAATTAAAATGATTTCAATCTCAAATTGAGCTGAAATTAAAAAAAATTAATTCAAATTCAGAAAATTTCACTCTAATTCCACTTCATATTAGCCCTATTTTATTTAATAATTTTGGCATTGAGCTAATTTAGGCTTCTTTTAGGACGGCTTTTTTATTTCTTCTTGAAGCAACTTTTTAGTACAAAAATTATAATTTTTATATTAAAAAGCTGCATCAAGAAGCTGTAAAAAAGCCGTCCCAAACGAAGCCTTAATTGTAAATCAAGACATGTTTGGAGCAGCTTTCCGATTGCTTTCTTTTTCATAATGCAATCATTTTCATTTGCCAATTGCTTTCTTGTTATTTTTCTATTATTTTTTAAAAAATTTTGCGATAAAATATTTTTTGATAACCATATATAATAAAACGTGGAAACTGTAATAAATTTATTATCTATTTTTTAAAATGAAAAATATTTATAATACCAACAATAATTTAAAAAAACTTTAAATTTTCCCACAATACTTTCAAAACCATCTTTATAAAAAAATCAAGGCTTCATTTGAGATAGACTTTCCTACTGCTTCTTACAATTTTTTAGTACAAAATTAAATTTTTTGTATTAAAAAGTTGCTTTAATAAGCAGTAAGAAAACCATCCAAAATGAAGCCTAAGTCAATAAGTCTATATATATATATATAGAGAGAGAGAGGAGGGGGGAGAGAGAGAGAGTGATGTTAATAAAGCTGATAAATATATCAAATATAAAAAATAAAAACTGAATTGAAGCCTGATACAGAAGTAGCAGAATAGCATTAGTGGAGATTATTAACAGCAAGCCTCTGGTTTACTCTGTCCTTTGAAGCCAGCCCATCTGAAAATAGAAATAGAAATTTATTTGTTGAAGTTCACCATAAAATAAACAAAGCAAACAATATCAAAATGATCCCTGGAGTATATATGAGGGTCCATTGATATCCCAAACTATCTAATATGTCCAATTTAGGCTTCGTTTGAGACGATTTTCTTACTGCTTTTTAAAACAGCTTTTAAGAACAAATTTTTTTTAATTTAATATTTTTGTACTCAAAAGCCGTTTTAAAAAGCAATACAACTCCTCAAATCTGATATAAAATAGTCATAGACTCTTCAATTCAAATTCAAAATTATATGATAGATAGACTATTTTGAGTCATATATGAAAAGTCCACGGACAAAAGATCTATTTGGGATAGTTTTTTATAAAGTTGAATGTGAAATTACTATTGAAAAGGTAGTTTTCCATCATAAATTTTTTTGAAAACATGTGATAAATCACCAAGAAATTAGGAGGCAAATAAAATTATGATTATTGTTTGAAAAACAAAACAGCAAAAAAGTTGTATCTAACAGACCATAAATGAAAAATATTAAATAGTAAGAAACTAAAATAACCCCTCATAAATAATCCAGAGATAATTTTGACCATGTTCTTATAAAATAATAATTGAGTTTGCAGTCAAGAAGAAATAAATTTAAGATTACCTTCCAAGCATACAATACAAAGAAGGCAATAGTATCTGCAGACCAAACAACTGCAAAGGATTTCCAGAAAAAAGGGATGAGGACATTGAGTAGTGGAATGAGAAGAAATAGGTAATTCAGAGCTTCCTTCTCATTCTTGGAGCAATCTCGTGCTCTTAATGAAGGGATAGCTGCAAGTAATTGAGCAAAATAATTAGCCGTTGGGATACGCAAGTTTAAAAAAAAAACATAAGTAATTGAATGGATTTGTATCTAATGCATGAGCTCTAATGGAAAAAAAATTGGAGTGGAGTAATTCTATGAATTTGTTCTTGGCCAATGGATAGCATTTTCTATTTTGTATTGTTAAGATTTTATTAGGGAGTGGCTAGGCGTTATGCCTGTTGATCGCTTAGGAAAAGTTGTTAGAAAAGGAGCTATATAGAAATGATGAAACCAAAAGGCAAGGATTTAAAAATATACCCTCAAATTCTCCCTGTTATCTACTTCTCTTCCTCCGTTTCTACTCCTCTACTTGAAAAGGAGCCACTCACTTCTTCGTGGAGCTAGTCGGCAAGGTTCAAAGTTGTTGTTATCCTTATTGCACCCCTCAGTAGGAAGGGTTTAGTAGGGGTGTAAACGAATTGAGTCGAGTTAAATACCTACCTAATCGAGCAAAGCTCGTTTATTTTAACATCAACAAACAAGTCCCCAATAAAATCAGGGGCTCCGACAAACTTTTTTAACAAAGCTATTTTGACTCTGAGCTTTAACTCAACATATGCAAAGAGGTGCGCTATCATCGTCCCACATACTTTAGACCAAGCAATCAAATTTGCAAAACTCATTGAAGACAAGTTCAATGATGGCCAATTCATTTTGGGTCTAGTGCTAAACCACCAAAAATCAGCGTCTCCGCCTTTGTTACAACCACCTATCTCCACAACAATTACTATACCTTCCATTCAAACTCACCGCTCATCCACCACCGAAATGTTGACCAAATGCAAGAAAGATTTGTAATATTATTGTGATGAAAAGTTCACTCAGCACTCGCAGTCACAATTGTAAAAGCAAGATGTTCGCCTTATGATCTCCATGATGATACTCAATGGCTGAAACTCTACCTATTTAATAGCAACCTTCTAGCAATGCAGATTAAAACTCCTTATTTAAACACCTCCCAAAATCCAGATTTGATTGTAACTCATGTATTAGGCATGCCTTGTACTTCTTTGTTTAACATGATTTTACATTGCACTTTTTATATCATTTAGGAATTAAGAATTATATTGGGACAGCTTTTTTGTTGCTTTCTAAAGCAACTTTCTAGCACAAAAATTTCTTAAATTAGAAAATTTTATACTAGAAAGTTGTTTTAGGAAGCAATATGAAAGCTGTTCCAAACAAAGCCTAAGAATCATTTCACACAATTGATACATTGCCTCACTTACATAAAATTAAGACCTCCTAAAGTAGTATTCTTCATTAAAATCCAAAAGAGATTTGAAGGTTCTGGCAATGTAATAATATAGTCCGGAATAAGCACATGTGATTGATCATGCAAGCATAAGCAGGTATCTACTTATATTAAACAAAAGTAAATGAAACTTACTAAACATCCAAATTGACCACATTCCCATCAGCCTCCATATGTCAGGTTCATTTGATGGAAATATAAGATTGAACGAAAGGGCGCCACCGATTAACATTGAAGCATAGCCTTGAACCTCAAAGATGGTGTAGAGTGCAGTTCCAGGCACAGCAGGATTCTTAGAGGCAGTAGAAGCCCTTGGGGCAAAGGTAGCAGCAGTTTTCTGAACAACCTACGGAATACAAAATATTTTGAAGTTCCATTAAAGCCGTATTGAGTGCATTGAACCTAATGACAAAGAAAGTAATTTCAAAGGAGACATGAGTCAAGGAGATATAGCCAAGGCCTCTCGGCCAAAGATCATGAAGGATAAACCTTTCTAGCGAAGGAATCATGTAGAATTATAAAGTATCCACAAATATTTTAAACTATGAATATGAAGTGCGTTGAGTGGTTCAAAGCACAAAAATCCAAGTAACACTTCATTAATGTGAACTAATAACTTGTAATTCCTATTCAAGTACATCCATAATTATAATGCAATAAAGACTACATATCAAACTTTCCTAGTTTAGTCAAAATGTATATAAAAGCAACATATCTCATCATAAGGATCTCGAAATTAATCACTTCATTAATGTTGCACTTTATCTAGCTTTATTTTTCAATCCGAAGAGTATGTTTATTTCTCAGCTTTTACAATTTAGTAATGAGATTTGAAAAGATGATGGGGCATCATACTCCGCGGACCACCAGACGCCTGGGCAATTCTCCACTACCGCAGCTATGCACCTTTTCTGACTTTTCTGTTTTAAGTTCTGCTAAAAGAACATTCTGCATTTTCCTTTTTACCTTATTTTTAGTAGTAGCCTCTTAGTAGCTGGAGGAGTATAATATACTCAAGGGGCTGATCGTATTACACAGAAGATATATATGAAAAGCTAGTATTACTACTATCACTGTTCCATTGGTGTTTTTCTGCTAACCCTCTTGCAGGTTCTTCTTCCCGGTATCCCTTCTCCGCTGAGAGCCCCAGCTTCGGCCTTCGTTCGCAGGAGGTACGTCAAAAGATGTTTGATTAAACCAACCTGCTAGGATGTACATGGTGTTCGATTGATAAAACTTGTTAATATGATTCTAAAGTCAGAATTTAAATTAAAAGCACAATAAGGTCCATTTTTATAAAGCAAGAATCCCTTGTAAAGTGAATAAGAATCTCAATATTCAGTTTTCTTTTTCAAACAATTTGTTCAACTTTCAAGCTTTATTAATTAAACACAGGGATACTAATATATTCCACATTAAGCATGTGCATAATAGAAAATGGATGTCCTTTTCATAAAAATCAACAAATGAAACACGACAAACTGGGAAGAAGAACACCTCAAAATAATTTTTATTGAGAGAACTATAAAGAAAAATGCAAGATACAATTGGATCTTCAATTGGAGAGGAAGATCTGGCTCTCCCAAATTCCCTCACAATTGTAATTAAAACTTTCCTAAACAATCCCCCCTTAATTCCTCATTTTCCTTAAAAACTTCCCTCTTAGATTTTGAATTCAAATTATATCTCTTGCACTAAATAATTCCCTCCAAATTATAATTTAAATATTCTTAAACAATCCCTCTTTGATTAAGAACATTCCTAAATACCCCCCTATTGATTAGGAAACTACCTAATTCCCTCCAATCAAATTGGTCAGTCCATCAATACTCCCCTCCCAAAGTGCCACATTTTCCTCAAGGTGGAACTAAGGAAATTGTTGCCGAAGAACTTGACTAATAGCACTGGAATTAAAAATGGACTTAAATTGGGTCGAGTGATCCCTACTCTAGCATCTCCCTAATCAATCTATCAATCTCATCATTCTGGATTTGGGAATAACGATACAAACGAGCATTGAAAGGTAAAACTACTTCCTTCAAGATGATAGCATTAACCCTACTATAGCACTGAACATGAGTGACTGGAATAGTATTTGTACAGTCAAACGAATATATTTAGGATAAAGCTGATGACTTTATCTCCCTTACCAGAAAAATAGACTTGAGAAAGCATCCGCAAAGGCTAAACTATAAATAAATAAATTCCAATAGACATTCTGCCTTTCACTTCCAAAAAGCAACTAGGAACTTCTAAATCAGCCGCAGGAAAAGAACCAATTCCTAAATTAAGAAAATCAAGCGTGATAAAAATCCAAGCACCGGTAAAAACATGAAATACTCGTAAACAAAGGAAAAGATTCCTGGAGTTTATCACCTTCTTAATATCCTTCTTGACAACTGGAATCGAAGAAGCTGAGAGCAAGGGACCACGAGATTGAGCTTCCGAAGACGTTTGGTTCCTTTCTCCGTCGGCACGGGCACCGGAGTCTCCATCTACGATCCTTCCTCCAGCGGCCGGGGCCCCAATCCCATCGGAAGCCTCGGCACTAATACTTCTCCTGCAAAGGAGGCGGCCATGGCGGAAAAAGGTGGCCCCGCCTGTAGAGAAAACGGGGACTACGTATGAAATCCGAGCGCAGGGAAGAGCGGCGAAGACGGGATGAGGCATATGAAGACCTGGCTGAGAACTTTGTAAGAGGAGAACTGAAACAGAAAAGGGAGTAAGACCCCTGCCCCTTTGTTTATCCACAGGCCCGCCCACGTGGAAAAGGATAAAATAAATAATTTTTTTTCTAAAGGAAAATCCGAAAATTGAAGTGTGTGAGTTTACCTATATTTTTTATTTATGAAATTAACAAAAAATAAACTATCAATTTGATATTTTTGTTTGTGATATATTTAAATAATTAGAAATTAAATGATTTGTTAAATAAAAAATCTTAAATTTTTTTAAATATAAGTTCTCAAATTTAGATATTTTTATGACTTTAAATTAAACTTAGTAAATAAAATGGGGCAGGTATTATATTAGTCTTGTATAAATTATTTTATTTTTATTAAATAATGAACAATAAATTATAAATTATAATGTCATTTAATAATAATATAAATGAAATCAAATTCTTCCTTTAATCAATTACTAAAAAGGCTTCATATTTTTTAATATAAAAATTAATTAAAACCCCTTCAATTCCTTGAAAGGTCTTACAAATAATAGTTTCAAAATTATTCATTGATAAAAAGTGTAAAAAAATCACACTTCTCATATCTATTTCCTATTAATATTTATGTCAAACTACTATTAATACTCTCCGAAAAATTGAATCGAAGCACAGATCTGAGAAATTAGCCGAAAACTCAAAATAATCATGGAGCCTTAACTCAATTCAGCAAACTTACAGTCAAACTGACGTCTAGGAAATACAAACCGCACGACACAACGAATTACAATAAAGTCAAATGAGCCCAAATCAAGCCACGAACGCGCTTTGAAGATTAACAACCACAATGATTACCAACAGCGTTCCTCCGATTTTAACAGAGCTTATGCTCGAATCGAGCGCTGATGAGAAAATCCAACGATCCCAAGATCGCTGATTCCAACATATTAAAAGGCCCCATAAATTCCAACGAACGTGACAATCGAAGGGTTCAATCTGGCCGTCTCAACCACTCCTATGCCCGTGACCACACTATTCAAAGCATCCACCCAGAAAAACTTATAATAGAAGCCCTCATCTACACAAAGGCTCAAGAAAAGAGAGAAAGAAAAAGAGAAGAAAGGAGAAAGAGAGAAAGGAGAATCCTGTCCCTCTCGACCACACTCCGAGTGCCTGCATCCTAACACAGTGGGATACTGATGATACGGGAGAAGCAGAATGCTGCCAACTTCCACCGATATCGAAATCCTTCCAATTACACCAAGTTCCCTCAGGACGCTGAAAACTCGCCAAGTGAATCGGACTCTCCCTAACACCAACAAACGCCGGCTCCTACCACGACGTCAGGACTTAGACTCGCCAGTTCTACCCGACCCGGACTTCTACCGGATTACGGTACTTCGCTGGACGTCATCAAAGATGCATTTATTCCATTGTGCGACTCCTAACTGCACGTGCCTCTGTCTCCGTCATCAAAACTACAGCTTCTTCCGATATCCGCGCCTGTCAACAGAATCCCATACTTAGTCGCCACGTCGACTATTCTTTCTGACCTCTGTCGCCCGCTGCTACGTTGTCCTACTGTATGCGCCCGCACGGACCACAGTCTTTTTCGGACCGCGCCGCAACTCGGTCCTCTTACTTACGTTCGCGCCGCCACACACTTCCGACTTCCTCACCCGTACTACGACTCCTGACTTATGTCTGCCGACACAATCTTCGACCTTTGTCGCAACCAACTCGCTGCCTGATACGTACCGCCATACATAGTCTTCGACTCCGTTAACATACGTCTCCTGATCGCTCCCCCGTCAGTCCGCCTAACTACGACACGGTCCTTCAGCGAAACGAACACGCTAGTCCCAACCAACTCACACGCTTGTAACAATTTCAACATGAATTAGTACTAAATATAAAATGTACACAACGAAGGCCTTCTCCCAAGGAATGCCTCTTGTAACATGCATATACTAGTGATTCATTATAAGCGGCTTAAGCCCGGGTTTTCACCTTCTTTTCAGGGTTTCCACGTAAATAAATGGTCCTAGTACCTCAATATCGAATTGCTGATGCACGGATTTTCGTAATAATGCTAAGAAGATAAAACTATATTTTCTACCGGCACAATATAACCTGGAATCAACATAATACACAAAGTTTATTAATACGCCATTCGGGAGAAAAATCCATAAATAATTTAAACAAAGTTTAAATATCTATTTGAATTATTTTTTTTTTTTTTGAAAGTTTAAAATTTTAAATCTTAATATATTTAGAATATAACATTAATATTTTAAATTAATGAATTATTAAAGACGTTACAAATCCTCTATAATTAACATTGGCTCATTACTAAATCACTTACAAATCACATTCATCAAAACAAAACAATAAAAAAAGTAATTATCTATATTACTTTACGACTATCAAAGCATACCAAATATATAATACAAGTCCATTCAGTTACAGGTTACCTAATCTTCTATCATAAGTGATGGTTTTTCTTTTCAGCAAATCAAACAACCCCTGACTCAAATATTAAATTCACATAAATATCTATTATTAATATTCATTGTAATACGAAACACACACATAATTAGATATATATTTTAAAAATGACAAGTGACACATAATTAAACTATAAATCAAAATAAAATTATGATATATCATTAACTCTCCTAAAAAAGGGTACAAAGTTTATGACAATTTAAATAAGTATATCGATACACTAAATATGATTAAAAAAATTCATAAAATTCTTCCTTAAAGTAAGCTGAGCAACACATTCAGCCCAATTCTCCCTTAATCCTGCAACCATCCAAAAGCCTTTCTGATTCTCAACGAAGGGTTAATCTCTCTTTCGCTATTATAACAAATCGTTCCTTCTCCTTCTGCTTCCTCCCTCCATTAATTAAATGCTCAATCCATTACCCTATACAATTATCAACAATCAACCGGCAATGGGTGCTCACCGCTATAATCGGACGCTGGGCGGCAGCTCGCCACCGCGCCTTGCGTCTCCGTCCGGATACCATCCCCTACCTCATCTCGAACGTGAGGATGCATCGCTCCTTATGGCGCCATCGCACTACAGCAGCCTGAAATCCCCTCTGAAAACGCTTCTGCATTCCTACATTCTCGCCCCGCCTGACTCATTCACGTACATGCCCAGGACAGTATTAGGTACTGGGACTACGCGCTATGTGAAACGTCGTGCCGAGTTCGGGTCGGAGCGATGGAGTTCGCGGTTTTCAGGGAAGGGATGGGAATGGGCTGTAGTGAGGGTGAATGAAGGAGAGATAGAGTGGAAGAATGGCTGTCCACGGGGAGAAGCGGAGCAAAGCCGAAGAGAAGGATGAAGTTTACTGAGAGTTATCATGCGATTAAAACAGATATCTGAAGGAAGAAAGTTCTGGGTTGAGCGGGTCGGATCGAGAAGTTCGGATCTCAGCCACGGCGTACTCCATGGTGAGAGCGAGTTAAACTTATAGACAGAAAATTATTTTTCTAGAAACGTAGGTCTTTGTCTGGACCTTCAATGAAATAAAGGCATGAAAAAAAAAAAAAAACAAATGTAAAAAATAAGACTGAGATAATTTCATATAGGTTTAGATATCAAGGAAAGAATTCTAGCTATATCTCAATGTTATTTAAAATAAAAAGTCTACTAAGTAGAATGAGTGTGTTGATATGACCCTAATGAATTATGAGGTCATAAAGTCTAAAATCTAGTTGAGAATTACGACTGAAACATGAATAAGTAATGTAACTCTTGGATGGTGGTGAAGAAAAGGCCCCAATAATACGAGAAAACCAATAGAGGGGAACACACACTAAGGCCGGGGAATTCCATAAAAAAAACATAGAGATTAATATTGTGCAGAGATAGATAACTATTACTTAAGACTAAAGCAAAACGCATAATTGAAAGAGAGTAACTCATAGCAGAAGATATACTGAGAGACCATAAAATTGTCAATAAAAAGCGACTTAGTAAATTGACAAACAATACCGGTAAAAAGTAGATATAGATTGGCTATTTAAGAAAGTGATAGAGCCCTAAAAAGCTTTTAGACAATTTAAAATGATCTCCATCAGATAAAGAATTCAACTTTAAAAAGTGCAAATAAAAAAAAGACATAACCGACCCAATTAACTGATTGTTGAGATATTGATTGAGAAAACATAAATTAAATTTTCATCAATCAGATTTAAAACTCAACTAACAATTATGAAAAACAAATGATTAAAAAAGTATAAAGTAGATAAACTCAAAAATAACTAAAATAATATAAGGTACAGATAGAATACATTCAGTTCATATCATATACAGAATTCCTCATTAATAAACAACAGATCCTCCTATCATAATGTATGCTAGTAAGGTAGGCTAACATACCAATATAACACAAAAAACTATGAGTATATTTGATCAAAGGGCAAGAGCATACTACATAACTGATTCTTAGGACTGTAATACCATAGGGTTCACAATTCAAGAATTTCGTATGAGTGCGTGGATAATAAGATTAATGTTAACAGGAAATATATCATTAAATTATTGACTTACAAAATAAATGGGTGGCTCAATTAAATCTCGGCAATTTTAAGAATATTTAGATGGGCGCAATCATTTTATAAAGTTTATTGTGAAGTTTGCGTAGAAAAACAATTAACTACAGATTGCAAAAATGTTGCCAGAGCTATAGAAACTTTTGGAAAGAACAATTATGAAACAGAACGAATAGACCAGGCGACAATGTGATATGAAAATAAGCACCAAAAAAGATGTAAATAGAACAGTATTCTTCATCTATGTTCCTGCTTTAACGGAACATTTATCCGATATATTATATAATATAGTCGAAAATATATTAATGGAAATTTTTGCAGGTTCATGTGTGAGCAAGAATGAAATTTTGGAATGCATCTTGAAGTCAAATCATGACTTTGTATTCGTTTAATTGCTTAGGCAACATAATAGCGAGATCTTAGATTGGGATAAAAAACCAAGGAGGGCATTTCCTCAGGGGCACTGCTGGGAAGATCTCGCGGTAGTAGATGTCGGGA